ATTAATGGCTAAGGCAGTACATACTGAACTCCTAAATGAATGCCAGAAGTAAGTTATAAAAAATATGCAACAAATATTCAACAATTTTCCATACTATCAATGCCAATTTTGTCCTACTCAGATAATATGATTATTTTTGGTTATGCCCATTCTACCTTAAAGAGATGGTGCAGCAAGCAAAATATACAGTATGTGCATGTTGTCTCAATCTCCTGGTGGTCAGTGGCTAGTAAAACTATGGACATAATATTGGAGGAGACTTATTACCCTGAGACATTTGCCAGCACCTCCTAGGCAGTGACTCATGAGTGACAGAACAAAAGTCGTATAGATTTGATAACTTCTGAAGAGGTAATCTATCATTTCACTTCCTACCCAAAATAATGTTTGCTCAGCTTCCTCTAGTCTTACCACAAAAATCTTTTCAGTTAGAAATAACATAATTCAGAGTATGGAAAAAGTGCTGTAGTACTTACAACAAAGAAAGAGCTAATATAAAAAATACATAAAGGGGAATATAACATGATGTACCAAAAGGGACAATAAAAAATATCATGAACTTGATCAGAAACCTAGATTTTAAATAATAACAAAAAATTCCTGAATGAAACCAGCCTTTAGAAATAATACTAAAAAGAACTAAGAAGGAACTATAACCAATGTATCTTTTTTCTATACATAAATACATACATTAATACCAAAGGGGAATGTAGTTATACATAATAAAAAATCCATTAAACTGAAGAGTAATCAATGCTTCATTTAAAACAGGTACAGAAAAAGTAGTCCCTAATGTATTACTCCCTACACTGTGCAATTCGAATGAACTGGTTCAAGTCATTCGACTGAAACATTAAATAAAAATACAAAATCAAATATTTTATTTTCCAGCAGGCAACATCCCCAAAACATTGCCAGCTTTTGCAATCTCCGCATCGTTGTATCATCCCATTTTTTAAATTGTACTTTAGCTATACAGTATTTTCCACCTTTTAATATGCAACTATAAGTTCAAATCAGAGCATAAGAGTAATGAATGTGCAATGACCAATTTAAAAGTAAAAAGGGGAATTGGTGAATTTTAAAAAAGTAATTATTTTTTTTTAAAGTATGAAGATGGTTATGGTCAAACAGATCTACAGAATTAAGTGTGCCAAGACATGAGAAAATCATTTGAAGAGAAAAGGTTCCCCATATTTATATAATGGACTTGAACGTGATTTAAATCTATGCTTAAAAAGAAAGACTGTACCTAGAATGCTGTTTTAATTACTTATATGAACAGATTTCACTTTGTGGATCTGACCCCCAAGCTTAGTGAAATCCGTAGACAAAGCCCCATTAACTTTAATGGGTTTTGCAGGAATCAATGTAAAATATTAATAAATATACATGACAGCCAACAGAAGGATTAAATGGTAACTCATATTAGGTGAACACCATTTCTTGTGGGTTTTAAATCTTATTTGCATAACTCACTTCTAGTTTTCTTGAAAATAACATTAACTGGATTACTTAAAAAGGGAAATGACTTATTCTTTTCTTACTTTTTTGATAAACATGCATAAACATTAATCTTAAATTATAAGATAGGGCATATGGAGAGATCAAATAAATCATAAGCAACATCAATAGGCTGCTTAGCTGTTAAGTGGGAAAGGGAAAAAGATGGTAAATCTGAAAGGGCTAAAAGTGGTGTAGCTGTGATGGCTATAGATCTGAAGGAAGGCACTTTGTGCCCAAAACTTTGTTCAACTTCCCCTCCAACTAAAAGTTGGTCCACTAAAATATAATCACAAAAAAAACTTTCTGAAAGTAAAATATATTTGCAGAATTAAATATGAAGTCAAAGTCCCCAAACACTACCCAGTAGCAGTGCACCTGATTGATTTTGATTTCAGGTCATCCTCAGTAACAGCAGAAGACAGTTAAACCCTTAGAATGAATGATACTTACCTGGTATTGCAAGCTACTGTGCGTGCATGTGCATCTACAGATCTATATATAGATCTCTCTATTAATGTATAATATATATTTATAATACATCTATAAAGATGATTTTGATTCTTAAGCTAAGGAATATTAATTTTCCTTTAAAAAAGGAACAAAATAAATCCTGCTAATAGAGACCTAAAAGATATATTTGCCAATATTTCTGTGCATACAAAAAAAGTTACAGAAGAACATTGCTACTTCTGTACTCAAGGGTCACTGGCCTTAATAGTTGAACTTCCTTAGGCTGGACACCTGTAATGGTTACTAAATACGCATGTCTAAGATGACTGGATTTATAAATGACTGCTTCTATTTTAGGAGACCTAAATTAAACATTCAATTTTTAGCTAGTGATTAAAAGGGTCTAAACGCTTCTTATTAAAAACTACACCATAGTACAATAGAGTACAGCACAGCTATTTCTTTAACAGAAATAAGATTCAAATTTTAGTCATTTAAAACTATTCCCTGCCCTTTGTTTTGCTGTCCTGGTGTTGTAAACTAACAATGAAAAGTGCATTTAGATTTTATGACATTTTTTCTACCTTTGGTACAACAACATGGCAAAAATACACCAAAGTGCATGAGCAAAATTAAGGAGAGAACTGAACAGAGAAAGCCTTCTCAATACTTTTGTTAAAGGTCTTGCATAACAGCAATCATATAATCAGGATAAGCTAGCGTTTGGCTCTTGAAATTAATTTTATTAAAGTAAAATTATATTTGGCCGCAATAACATCTATTTCTACTTCCAAATATAGGCAGAATCCCATTTTGAAATAGTTCTAATGAGACATTTCAAGATGAACAGTTACTTAAACTGATTAACCTTCATCCTTTTCAGTACCTGCATCAATAAATTGTCCAAGTACCAGGACAACACAAGTTATGATCTTACGAAAATCTCTCACCCCAAAGAACTGTGATAATTAAAACACTGTATATTTTTCTGGAATCAAAGACCTGAAGCAGTTCCTTAGTCAACAGTCAAATGTTTACATTTCATTTAATATACAAGTTAAAAACATGGGAAGCCATATGATCTAGTGGACAGGACTAGATTATCCACTACAGGTGAGGAAATCTCTCCTCCACTCGTCTTCACCACTGACTTGCAGATCACGTGTAAATCATTTGACTTCTCTGGGCTTCCATTTCCCCCTCTTGATCCTGTCTGAATAGTCTGCAAGCTTTGAGTCAAGGAGAGCTTCTCCAGATATGCTTGGACCATGCCTTCCATAGCGATGCCCCAAAGTCAAGTCACGACTGTCAGACACCGTTATAATCTAAATTAGCACTATAGCCAAGTAATTTTAAATTTAAATTATTTGGTTATATACGTTATCTTAAAATATTCATTTGTAAACTAAACAGGTACCAGATATCTTCTAATTTATGCTAGCAAAAAATATTTTCCGAACTAGATAACTCGTGATCATTTTGCTTTCTTATGCACAAGATAGAGCTACCTTAAATTTATCCTTCATATTCCAGAAATAAAGAAATAGTACATGGGATCCTCATTCTGTGGATTTAAGCCCACATTACACAGTCTCATTCTTCTTCATGAATTTGAGAGCTGAAATGACAGACTTGCTTTCAGCTTGAGTTAAAGCTCAAGGATACACTGATATTGCTGTAAAATTAACTAAAAGTATCCGAATTCAACTAAGAATTAGTGTGTTAACATTCCTAATTAGAACTCATCGGAGATGTCCATAAACACTTAATGTTTAATTTGTCCAAATCAAGACATTAGACAGAATTTATTGTTTCAAGAAGCTGCATCATTTTATTACTAAAGAATAACTGAATTAATTTCATCCTGTGGCATATTTAAAAAAGTAATTCTACTGAGAAAATAGTTTAATATAGGGTTGAATATAGTTTAGTACTATAGTTTAATATAGGCTGAAATGCCACACATCATAAATCACTTTTTTCCACATTAATTAGCCCAAACTGTCAAGTACTTTGTTCTATATGCTGTATTACGTCTTTGTAGAAACAATCTGATTTTCAAACTTTCAGATGTTGTATTAAATTAAATGCTTGGACAAGAAAATGTTTTACAAAAATTTATTGCATCCATCAAATACTTAAAGGCATTCTGCATTAATACACTATTTACCTCTTAATAAACAAGACTACTTCAAACATATTAAACAGTACCATTTAAAAGACTGGAAGGACCAATAATAAACAAATACACAACATGAAATGAAAGCATACAGCACTGTCTGTCATATTATGACCCACTCAGATATTGCACTTTGGCAAAAATGATTTCAAGATTTTCGATATTTATATCATGCACATCCAAATGTATGCAAACAACAGAATTTCTAAACTAGAGACTTGCAAACACAAGAGTGCCCACACTATAAATATACCATAGGTACTAAAGTACCTTCTTTGGCCTGGTAGAAAATAGGCAACTTGTCAGAGTAGTAAGTAAAATGTTTAACACTTTTAGTGTTAAGTATAGAGAAAAACAAACCTTAACTATTGAAATGTGTTCCACCTTTTTACAATGTTGTATCACTCAATGATTACGGTGCCAAATACAATGCATGTTGAATGCAGTAAGAGGGCAATTATGAATTACACATCCTTCTGAAGGTTGACAAAATTATTTGTTGACAGATACCTCCCCACCCTAAGAAGAGTATATTCAAAATATTTCCTAAATAAAAAAAAAATTAAACAATTATTAATCTTAAAAGAAATTATAGAAACTGATTTTTTTACAAGCTAATGTTATATTTTCTGATTAATTTTGTTTAAGATCAACTGGGAAAAGAGCTCATCTTCCAAGCTAAAAGCTTAGATCTATCCGTTAATGTTTTTACTGTAAAAATACAACTTTCGGACAAACGCCTGCCTTTAAATTGGCTAAAATTATCACCAGGAAACACTTAAGAAAATGTGGGAAAATAGGAGTGATATTAAAGCATCATTTAAAAAAAACAAAACAAACAACAACTTGAATTACAAACGTTTAAGTGTTCTGCTTATGACCCTGTGCTGTCAGTCCCTGAAGAGTGACATTTTTATTTTTTTTGCTTATTTACAGAACTGAAAAATAGGCAAGAACTTGATTAGCAGCAATATCTCTATGCCCAACTGAGGTCCATATTGGATATAAAGTGTTTTAAAAAAATTATTTCAGTTATGTATCAAAGATTAGACTTGTGAAACGAAGACGCTAATGAGGCTCAGAAGCAGAAAAAGCAGGTGCCATCAGCAACTGTGCAGCAAGGCAATTAAGCTGGTCCCACATATATTATATGGCAAAAAACCCCAACAACCCCAGTTTCTGAAATACTATATAAAATTTTGTGAAACCCCCTTTTTTTTTTTCTTTTTTTTAAAGTCTACAATAACTTCTCCTGCTTGTAACGTAGCATTTAGCCAGGTCCTGTTCAAATAATACTTTGTTTGTGCTGTGTATTTATGAATTAGAAAAACCAAACTGTTAAATTTTGTTTTATTATCTATGAAAGCTTTTTTTTTTTTTTTTGGACTACATGGTATTAGTAAAATATGACAGCTTTAAAAAGCTAAAATTCTTACATAGGTTTGTTTTTTTTAAATTAATTTAAGAAACTTTAAAACCCAGAACATATTCAGGCCCAGCTACTGAAGACACTATGCACAGGCTTAATTTTACACACACAAGTATCATTTGATACTTGATATCAGTTAAGCCTATGCTTAAGCACCTGCAGCATCAGGACCTTAACAATCCCATCAGTGATTTCAGGTATTCCTTAACAAATTAAAATTCAACTTAGCAGTTGAAGAAATCCATGAAAACAAGAAAAATGTTTTCTCTTTCTCATGAGAAAAGGTGTTTGACAGAGAGAGACAGAGAGAAAGAACAAAAAAATAGGAGTAAAAAAAATACTGAAGATCAATCAGTCTGTAAAGATTTTATCACTGCATATTGCACAGATGGTAATATTTATCATCTATTCATGTAACTAGCAGAAATTCACATTTATCAAAATAGGCTTTTACCTGCCTAAATTAAGAACTTGTCACAAAACCCACATTTTCAATGGGAACATAAAACGGACAGTGCTGCAGTGCATTTATAACACACCCTATGCAAGGTGTGTTAGTTAACACTTCTAAATATTTTCTTTGCATTTCTGGATTTTGGCCTCTGTTTTCTGGCCTCTCGTTCAAACTTGCGGGAAGCCTGTGAGCGAGTCTTTACAAGGCAGGCAGTCCTGGTTTTTACAACCTGCTTGCTGTTCCGTTGCGCCGGTTTGCGCCCACGCCTAGGGTGTGTTATAATCTTTTTTAAGTCCTTATGGATGGAATCATACCTATTCTCAGGATCGTCATCATCTTCCTCCTCCTCCATTGGAACAGCCCCAGATTTAGTCTCTCCTTCATCTCCTGGTGGGGGAGGAAGAAAAAAAAAGGGTACAGTCTATGTCAAGTGTAAAACCAGCAATATATAATTAAAACTTCTAGTGTCTGGTGACCTGTTCCTCAATAAAGTATATCTATTTAATGGTAACTTGATAAATAGTCCATCTTGAGTTGCAGAATAAATACTGCCTCCCCCTACAAAGCTATTAATAGATATAGCAATACCAAGCTCGTGAAGCAGCAGACCTGCAAACATTATTTCTATCCAAGTAACACATTTTTAGTACTATATACAATTAAACTATAATTTTATAGTCTTTACTTCAAAGTATGCTAGAGTTGAATATTTTACTCTTCCAAAACTTTAAAAATTCAGCAGTAAGACATTAATATTCATGCCACAAACTGAAGCTCTTTCACCAAATTCATGTGGGTTGAAAAGAGGACCAAACAAATATAAAGCAATACTACTAATCCACCTCCAAACAGATGAGCCATAGCACTGTCTTGTCTTAACACAAAATATTTCTAGAGTAGCTGGCTCCTGTTGACTCTACTTTCCCCTTTAAAATAGCAGGGGAAAAGCCACAAAGATATTTTTATGTTGAAACATGCACTCTTACACAGAGACTTATATTTTGAGAACTATACTCAGTGACTTCAGGTATAAATTGCTTCACATTACTGTTCCACTGATGAGGAACTTAAACGGGCAACAATACCAAGCATGTGGGATAGTCACTCAGCCTTCTCAAAAGGTTATTGCTCCTGTTTAGGTGCACTGCCTCCCCTCCACCCCCTTAGTGTTAACAATGGGTGTGTGTGTTTGGGG